GGGAGCGAGAGCGAGAGCGAGAAATCGTCTATTTTAAAAGAATTCAATATTGAGAGCGCGAAGAGAGCTTTATTATTATATTTTTTTTATAAAATTAATATAACATAATAAATAATTTTTTTGTTAATATTATAAAATTTTCATGGTATGAAAAATATGTTTGATCAAATAAGTGGTAATCTTTACAAAAAAGGTGCATAATATGAAATATGAAAAGATTTAACAATTATTAATATTACTCGCTATCATTTTTCTTTTTTATTTTCTTTAGTATTCTACCCTTTTCCTTTTTCTCTCTTATCAATTCATCCACCACCATCAGATAACTTATCATAACTTTCTCTCCTTTCTTCTTCAACGCAGAGGAAGCTGGTTATCTTCTACATTAAACTTACAATCGACCAATAAATCGACCCATTTTTGCCTTTTGCAGTGATATTTTTTTCTTCGATTGGGCTCCATGCTTCTATGTTAGTTGATCCTGACCGAACAAACCCAAAAGAAGGCGAGAAACAAGCATCTTCTCTGGTTTTCTCGCTCTTTCTCTCTCTCTCTCTCTCTCTATCCAACATTTTCTCCGGCTCTCTATCTCTTCCTCCAGGTCATAAAAAACAGAGAGAAAGAGGGTACATCTCTTCCGCCACAAAAGCAGACATTCTTCTTCAAATACCGAGTAATTCTTCATTTTTATTGAATTCACGTTCTCCTCAGAAAAAGTCGCGCTCCCATAAATGACGGTTCGTGAATTTGCTGTGCTCTGTCCTCAATCCACAATTTGACGCTCCAAAGCGGGAGCTCTGGGCCCAAACACGCGAATTAGGTTACATAAGTTTTGAGTGCCCGAGTAAAACTTGGTAACAACTGAGGAAATTCAACATTCAAGAAGTCAAACCAAGCTACGGCGCCCTCTAAGCTATGGCGCCCCAAAGGTGAAGTCGGGAGAAATCGAGAAACTCAAGATTCAAGTAATCAATCCTAGCTATGGCGTTCCAAATGAATCAAATAAACTCAAAATTCAAGCAATCAGTTGGCGCCTCTCATGCTACGACGCCTCTCATACTATGGCGCTCAAAAAGAAAAGATAATGGTTGAAAGGATTCCACTTTCAAACAATCAACCCTAGCTACGACGTTCGAAGGAAAAATCCGAGAACAAAGAGCAAAGCTCGGTTGGCGATACCTGATGAAGGATGGGGGAGTGGCACCTCTCATAATCACCCCTATCCACGGTGCCCGAAAGAAAATTGGGAGGTTTGAGGAAATCCAAGGCGACAATCCCAGCTATGGCGCCCCTCAAGCTATAGCGCCCAAAAAGAAAGGGGAAAATTGAAAGAATTTTACATTCAAACAATCAATCCTAACTATGGCGCCCAAAGGAAACCGAGAACAAAAGGTAAAGCGCGATACATGAGGCTCGCAAGGGATTGGGGTGGCGCTCAAACAATCATTCCACAATTGAAAGGATTTTACCTTCAAGCAATCAACCCTAGCTATGGCGCCCAAAGGAAGCCCGGAACGAAAGATAAAGCGCAATAGGTGAGGCTCGCGAAGGATTGGGTGGCGCCCCAACAATTGTCCCAAAGGAACGAAAGCAAGGGTAAGCTGCTTGTGAATCTTTATTCCAGACCTAGCGAACCCGGAGAGAAAATGCGAGCAAGAGAGCGCGAGACCCAACCTGCTGAGTTGAATCGAGGGAGGCGCCCAGCGGCAGGAAGAGGCAGCAGTGGGTAGGTGTGTAGGCGCGACGTGTTGGAGTCGAGTGGCGTCCAGGGGGTGGCACCCAGAAAAAGCTTGCTAGAGGAAGAGGCGCCGCGCAGAAGGAAGGCCGAAAGGAGGGGGTGGGTTCCGAAATGTGGTGAGAGGAGGAAATGAAAAGAATGGGGTTGTCATGTTTAAATAAGAAGAGGGTGAAGAGAGAAGCACACCCATCGAGGTAGGCAACCCAAAAGCCCAACCCAACATAATCCCTTACTTAGAATCGTGTTATCTTACCGGACGGTTCGAGTCCTAAAGCCATCACAGTCGGCTCGCTCCAGATAATACCGCTCTTATATTTATATTAGCTTTTTATTTTTATTTTCAGTTTTAGACTGCTACCTTTTTGCTTTTGGGACAAGAAATATCGTCACCGAAAAAAGTATACTTCTTGACGATGTCGCAATACTTGCTCCATCGCTAAAGGGGCAATTGATAGGGTATCCCAATCTCTAAAAGGGCATGACCCTAGTTATGCCCTAGTTAATGACACTATGAAGAAGGAAGACAAAATAGCCTAAAGAGACAAGATCAAAGAACAAGGCCAGACACCTAACATCAGCAAGGACAAAGTACAAGGGGACACCCTCTATTAGAAAGTACAATGTACAGTGTCAGAAGGTCTGAGGCGCCTGACCACAACATTTAAGACTTTGCAGGCTCCTGGACCATTACCTAACCTCTAGACTTGTATAAATAAGAGCTCTCTCCTCATAAATGACAATCTATGTACAGTTTACTCCAACTTCTCTCTACTTTCTCTCTCTATACTTCTCTCTTCCTACATCTTCTGAGACGGAGCGCCTCCCTCCTCAAGGTCATGCCTGACACCCCAAACCCTTTGAACCTGAGTGACCCCCAGTCGCTTGGGCTCAAACAAGAAGAGTACAACATAGTTCAAGCCGAACACGAAAAATGGATATTCGACGTGATGCAATAGCGGACAAGTTGTGGGATGACTTCCAAACTTGACTCCCTTTACATTTGTGATTGTACTTCTACTTATTTGATATTGAAGCATGTACTAGTGTCAGGAAATTAAACATATTCTCATTTTCAGGTCTTGTAACATACTGAACATGTTTTCATTATCATATTCTAGTTTTCAGATTCACCAAAAATCTCAGCTAAATAGGTTTTTAGTATGAGGTTTTCAAAATTCATTTTTTCCAGAAAATGGCAGCTACCTTTTCTCCATATTTCATTTTCTGTTGCCAAAATAATAGAACACGAAATGGGAAGTGAACGAGGCCTAAGGTTGTCAAACTCGTATTCGGTTGGATGGTTCAACCGAGTTTGATCGGAACCGGTCATCTAAATGATTGGAATATACTTTGGTTCGACGATTCTAGAAAAAAATCAAAATCGAGTTAAAGCTATCAAAACTGGATAGTCTCTAACCAGTCAAAACCAAATTTGAATATGAGTATTGATAACTAGATTGAAACCCGGCCCGTTGGCCGGATGCAATATCCCAAAATTAAAAATATACGGACTATTAAATTAGTGAAAAATAAAAAATGAATAAACATCATAATATTTTCTGATCGATCATCAATAAAAGTACCATGCATGTTGGATGGATGCATTATTTCAAACACATAAGTAACAATTGTAATTGTACTAAGCAAGATATATTTTTATTAATATCAAAAGTCAAAATATTTGATCTATTCAATTAATGGGAAAATAAAAAAAGAACACGCATAAAAGAGTTTTCTTATATTCTAACCGGTTCATCAACGAAAGTTCTTACTAAAAATTAAAAATAGAACTCATGGAAGGGGATTAACTCTTAAAAAACTTAATCAAAGTACATTCTATTTACTACTTGAGTAGAAATTACTATAATTTTTCTTATGGACTTATTTGCTAATTGCTATTGTTTCACCATATGTATCATCATCTCTGTCAATAATTATAGTTTTATATTCATCACTAAAGTCTTTCTATCTATCAACAATAGTCTATCTCTTATTCTGAACAACGTCACTACTCACTATCGCTATTTTTTAATTCAATACCTCCATCAAACGAATTTTTCTTCAACTTCATTTCATTGAAATTTTACTTAAGCGTAAAACTAAGATGTTTGCAAATATGAAACATTTATCTTTTAAAGATTCTTAATTGGCTACTAACCCAATAGTTTAAAATCCCACACGTTTAGTTTCCAAACTAAAGATTATAAATATTTAAGTGGACATATTGAGTATTAATGAATAAAAATCCTAAAATTGCACGTATACATAATGTGGACATATTTATTTGATTTAGAAGTCTAAAAATATTTGGCCTATTTATTATTAACGAATAAAAATCCTACTACTACACGTATAAATAAGTATAGACATACTTATTTGATTTAGAAGTCCACAAATGATTTATTTTTTATTAATGAATAAAAATTCTAATAGACATATTTATTTGATTTAGAAGTCGGAAAATATTTGGACATATTTATTATTAATGAATAAATCCTACTACTACACGTATAAATAAGGCATAGACATTAATTTGATTTTGTAGTCTAAAAAATATTTTATTTTAATGGTTTAAATGACAAAAATGTCCTTCCTACAAACTCTCACAAGGCCGGAAATTTGGAATAGAGTATATTGTGATGGAGAATGTCTATATAGTAATGGTAGGAGGAGGTAGGATGATAGGATTTGGTAATATATATTTCTTTCGAAACAATAATTTGGTAATGTATATTAGTGAAATTGTTTTAAAATATGTCAAATTGAATAGGGCTAAATTACATGTTTGGTCACTCAAATTATATAAATCTTTCACATTTGTCACCCGAATTACTTTTCTTTCTTATTCGCCACTAATAATACGAATCGTTTCGTCGTTAATCACTGACCGTCAGTCTCTGTCAAAATCTGTTAACTCCGTCAAATTCGTAATGACATGGCAAATAAAACTGCCAACTATACCGTTAACTAATGACATGTCAATTAACAAAATTAAATAAAAAAATATTACACCTCGTTCTCTCCTCAAATCCGCCGCACACTTTCTCTTCTCCATCCTCTTCGCAGTGCCAGCTCCCAACAGCAACGCCGCCGCCGCCCTTCTCCGTCCAGGTGTCAGCCGCAACATCCACTTCGTCTTCCTCCTTCGCATCCCTTGGTCCTTGCTGGAATCCATGCAAATGTGGAGATCGAGACCAGCCAGAGCCAACCGCTCTTTCTGCCTTGTTGATGGCCTTGTAATTAGGGGTTTTGCTCGGGAAACTTAACAATTGGGCTTCGGCGATGCATCCACCACGACCGCAGCTTCCCCCCTCCGCTCGTAGTAAAGGTCCTCCGGGTGGTCGATGGCGAGAGCGTCAGGTTGAGGAGATCCCAATTGAATGGGGGGGGGGGGAATCTGGCGGATCTGGCGGTTGGTGAACGCTTCCTCGGCGGGAATCGCCGCCAAATGTTCTAGAGAAAATGAAATCCTCACCCTCGTCTTCCTCGTCGACATCCTAGACTTCTCCATCCTACAATTCCAATAATCTATTGACTCCATCTCGACTCTTTGCTTCTTCTTCGGCCTCATTGGCTCTGTATTTGAAATCCCCTTGTTCATGTCCGTCTCCGAGAAGTTGGGCTGCTAGGCTAAAACAGAGTTCATCTTCTGCATTTGGGAGGCCACGGTGGAGGGAAGGGTTCCGAACAATGGGATTTGCTTCGGTGGGAGATAATAAGATTGTTTTGAATGAGGAAGAAATAAAAGGCGGCTATCTCTGGCTGGTGGCTGCCAAATGGAACTCTCCAGAAATCGGTGATTCCAATCTGAAGCTAATAATCATTGTCCCTTAACTCGTAGACAAGATCTCTAGTTTCGATTGCCTTCGATGAGGACAGTTTGGTGGTACTCGAAACTGATCGATCGGTGAGGGAGAAGCGGAAACGGAGTTGCCAAAGGCAGAGGTGAGCAGAGCAGCAGCGCGACGTTGTTCTACTCGTCGGGGATGGGAGGGAAGAGCAAGGGCCTGCTGTCAAGGCCTCTTTATCTCCCTGGTCTCGTTTGCCAACAGAAGGTAAAGAAGATCGAAAGGAAAGTAGAGAGAGGGTTCTTGCCTGAGTTGGGTTTTTTTCATTATTATATTATTACTTTGTTTTATTTTTTTTGCTAGGTTCTGACTAGATGATCAAATCGCATGACTCATCAATTTGTTAGTCAACTCAATAATTCTGTTTGCCACGTCATAAAAAATCTAACGGAGTTAACGGAATCTAACGGAGGCTAACGGCCGGTTACTAATGGTGAAACGATTCGTAAAGTTAGTGGCGAATAAAAAAGAAAAGTAATTTAGGTGACAAAAGTGAAAGATTTATATAATTTGAGTAACCAAATGTGTAATTTAGCCAATTGAATAGTAAAACCGAATTCAACTCTATTCAACCAAAACTCAAGAAGGCGACTCAGGGGAAGCCTTTCCTTCTCTTCCTAGTGAGGGCTGGCCGGGTGGGTAAAGCATCACGTTTTCCCTTGTTGACCCTTCCCTTTCTCCTCTTCCTTCTTTCCTTCCTCCTTCCTTGAATTTGATTTTTCTTCGTGCGTTGTCGTCTCGTCGTCTTGTCTGTCGTTCTCCCTTCCAAGCTCCGCATTCCATCTGTTTTTTTTTTCCCTCTCCTCTCCCCCATTCTATTGTTTCTCCTGCAAAAGCAAACATCCCTTCTCCCATTGATTTCCCCCCTCCTCAGCAACTCCCGATCCAGATTCCAGAAGCCATCTCCCCTTTCTCTCTCTCTCTCTGCTGTGCCCTTTCTGTGCCTCGCTGACCGCCGCCCGGGAGTTCCTTCCGCCTGCGCTGATGCGCCGGCCCATCTCCGTCATCCCTCACCCTGTCCCGGCTGCTCCTCTCCGCCACTGACTCGCTACCTTCTAGTGGAATACCACTGCCGCTGCCTCCCTCCAGTTTTCGATCGCAATCGCCGTCTCCCCCTACCTCTTCCTCACCCGATCCAAAGCTCTCTCCCCTCTCCCTGCTCTGGCTGCGCAATTCCGCCTCCGAGTCCTTACCTTCGAGTGGAAGAGGACGAGTGGAACACCCCCATTTGCCGGCTCTCCCAGGTAATTGTCTTACTGGTTTAAAGTATGGGTTTTTAGGTTTCGAATTTTTTTTGGTTGCTGATCATTCATGTGATCTGCTCATCGATCTGTTCTTGCAATCTGTTTTCGATCTGTTCTTTGTGATATGTTCTTCGATCTGATGTTGCCTGCTGAGATTGGATTATTGTATATTAGTGCAGTTGTTGCAGGTTGAAACCGAATTTCAAGGTACTTTTGCTGGCTGCTGATTGCTGAATGTTGTCCAGGCGGTGTTGATTGTATCAATTTTGATTCAGCACCCTTTAAGCCATGGGAGAGTGGATCGTTGGAGCTGTTATTAACCTCTTTGGCAGCATTGCCATCAACTTTGGGACTAACCTCCTTAAAGTGGGTCATAATGAGGTATTTTTTACCAATCCCTACGGCCTACTTTCGTCTTGATGCATTGTGCCCTGCAATTTCTTTTCGTGGTCTTTCTTTTCACTTGCTGTAAGCCTGTAACAACCATCTTTGGCTCCCACTTCTTTGTTCTTCGTCTTCTTCTTCTTCCATGTGTCTCATTTAGATTATCCTGACTTGGTACAAGTTTCTAGTGGCATTTATCATCATTGTTAGAGATGTTAGCAGCCTGTCATGGCGGAATGAATTTGTTCAAAGACTTCCATGTTATGAGCTGTCAACTATAACTAACGCTGGGGCATTGTTTGAAGAGAGAAAGGCATTCAGTTATGGACAGTGAGGGCGCGAGTGTGAAGATTCCTTTGAAGTCTGTGATGGACTTCCAGAGTTGGAGGGTTGGTGAGGTCTCCATTCATAATTCTAACTTTACTGAGTTCATGCTATTATGTTAAAGAAAACGGGGCTCATATTTTCACCCATAAAGGTTGTGCCTTTGTTATGCAGGTGTTGTGGTTTTCTTTCTTGGAAATTGTCTCAACTTCATTTCATTTGCTTATGCTGCCCAGGTTTGTATATCTCACACATCTTTATTCTGGTGTACACAGCTCTGCTTTATAGCAGATTAAAACATGCCTTTCTTCTCTTTGTTTGCAGTCACTTCTTGCCGCCCTTGGGTCTGTTCAATTTGTGTCCAACATAGCATTTGCGTACTTCGTTTTCAACAAAATGGTGACTGTCAAGTATGTTGAAGCCTGAACGGAGAAGAGTAGTGTAAGAGCTGTAATATGTTGCAGGACCAGGGTCACTGAAAGTACTCTTTTTCTTTACTGGATGCAGAGTGCTTGTTGCCACCGCCTTTATAGTCTTGGGAAATGTTTTCCTTGTAGCCTTTGGGAACCACCAATCTCCAGGTAATTGGATTTCTCACTTGATACACAATTAGTCACTATATGATCTTACTAGCTTGGTACCTTAAGTTAAGTCTTTCCTTCTTGATTGTTTCTTTTTGTCTATTGATCGAAACAGTCCAGAATTAGTTCATGAATTCATGAGTGTGTATTGTGTAACCTACCAACATCTTATGTTTTTATTAATCAGTATATTTGGTGAACTATGCCTTTATTAGTATATAAATAGCTCAGGATTGGCAATGAACTTGTCTGCTATAAGGTTCACTAATCTCACACAATGCAAGGTAAACAAATTGTAAAACCAGGTGTCGTAAGTTATTTTTCTAGTTGGCCATTAAGTGCCGTTGACCATGTGGCTCATTAAGATCAATGAAACTACTACACTGCAGTCCAACTGCTTTAAAATCACTACCTCAAGGAGGCATTTTACTTCCCTGCCTCCACAAGAACAATATTATGGCTCTTTATGCATGTGTGAGCCCCCGCAGACTGAACACTAAGAAGTCTCTATTACTGTGGTGCTCCCTTGGATTCAAGATATATGGAGATAACTGCATTAGTAAATGCTGACTTTGTTACTTCCTGTTGGTATGGAGTTTTTAGATGATATTGAGGGGTCACTTGGTTGTACCTTCAACTGCTACATATAAATGATGCTCTTTCTTTCTGTATCTAGTATCTATCTTCTACATAGAATTGATTCTTGGCTAGAGACACTCACATGATGCCAATTGTTTTCTTATAGTGTTTACTCCGGAGCAGTTGGTGGAGAAGTACAGCAACATTACATTTCTTTTCTACCTTTTGTTTCTAATCCTTATTGTTGTCGTTCATCAATACATTTACAGGTAAGTTTCTAGCTAATACATTTTTGTATTCCTTTGAAACAACCATGACTTGTTCTTCGCCACTCTTATGTGGAGTGTTATAATATACAGGAGAGGAGAGCTTATGTTTGCTGTCTCAGGACAAGACCTTAGACCACATTGGAAAACATTACTTCCTTTCTCCTATGCTGTAGTTTCAGGTGCAGTTGGATCATGCTCAGTGTTGTTTGCAAAATCTCTGTAAGTGAGCTACCATCAGATATAGTTGTTCAGTTTTCTCCTCATGTATAGATGGAAGTCCAAATTCGACTTTGACGTTTTGGTTCTAACAGAAACTTTGTTGCTTTCAGGTCTAATTTGCTGAGATTGGCCATGTCTAGCAGTTATGCATTGCACAGCTGGTTCACTTACTCTATGCTTCTCTTATTTCTTAGTACTGCGGGTTTTTGGGTATGATTAATGTTCGTTTTGCTTCCTCCATTTTGGTTACCTGTCACCACGTAGGAAGCTTGTGGATACATAATTAAATTTATGTTTTGTATCTGCGCAGATGACAAGGTTGAATGAAGGACTTGCCCAGTTTGATGCAATATTAATTGTTCCTATGTTTCAGATAGTGTGGACTTTCTTCTCTATCTGTACAGGATTTGTTTACTTCCAGGAGTATCAGGTCTTTCCCACCTTCCCCTGCCCTTGTGTTTTGATAATTGAGCAATTGTTACTGTGATTTTTACCCGCCTGCTGGAACTTATACCTTCATTTATGCAGAGTCATAAAAAATGATAATCTTTTGTGGTGTTTTGATAAATGATCTTCATGCGAGCTTGCATCTTGCACAACCATCCATGCAGCGGTTTAGTTTGCCTTTTTCTTTCCAAAATTTGCCCTGTGAATGTAACAGTGTATAATCTGTGTATTGTAGGGATTTTAGTTGATGCAGATAGTTTGTCCACATATTTGTTACACTTTCTTTCTGAATAACCGAGTGATTAACTGCATCTTGAAATCAGCTCTATGCATTTTGCTGCTGGGGTTGCATATGGATTGGTGATGTCATCCAAGTGGAGCTTATACATCTAGAAATTCGTTGTCTAGCCTAGACATATTTTTGTCGTCGCGACCTTACAATTAGCTTATTGCAGGTTTTAGATGCTCTGAGAACAACAATGTTCACACTTGGAATGATGTGTGTCTTCGTGGGCATCTCTCTGTTGGCCCCTGATGAGCCAAAAAGTATGGTAACTGGCAGAGATTTTATCAGAGTCCGTCTAGTCCTGCCTAAGGTAGAAACCTAAACATTGTTTTTGAAACTTTCAGGCGGTGAGGTCAAGGGAACTTCGGTTCTGGTTTCAGTTGTTTCTTCAAGTGAATCTGACAGGTATTGTGCAGTTCATCTTAATGTGAAAATAAATCTTTCAGTAGACGGAACTTCGGAGACATTTCTTTCTGTGACTGAAATTTTAGTACTTCGATACTATGAGCTATCACATGTGTGACTTATCCATAGTAGATGCTATCTGTTGTTTGATACAAATGCATGGCCTGCTGCGTTTAGTTACTTATGTATCCTTAGGAAAGTTTTTCAATTGTTGCTGGATTGCATAAATCTGTTAGCAGGTTTGTAGTCTCGGCAGAAGAGGGGCAAGATAAGGGGAAAAGGTCGCTTGTGCAGGGAATGGTGGTGAGGATAGCCGAGATAGTGTCAAAGACAAAGGTATGTATATCTTCTTCTACAGTGTCATTGTTGCTTGTGGTGCTGAAATGCGAGTTGGGTCTTACTTGCATACTAAACAAAGAGGCATAGGAGTGGAGATGTGAAGAGTGACGGATAAACAAAGACATTGATCGGTATTTTATTATGTTGCCATTGCACTATGCAGACTGCTTGTTCTATGTCGCTTGGTCTTGGGGAAGATTCAATTAATGCATCAGCAGTCCTTGTTATGCCAATGGTGTCATCGAAGATAACAGGGTTCAGAGGGAGTGTGTTTGATAGGCCAAAGGTTTTCTCATTGAGGACTGCTGGGTGGAGCAAGATCTCGATGGATGAAGATGGAATTAAAGAAGTGCCCGACGCAAACCTCGAGCTTCCTCAAACCCTTTGATCAAATTAGGTCGAGAAGCAGAGAGATCAATGGACATGTACTCGTCTTAGGAGCCAGCTTATTACCCTCCCAAAGAAACGAAGCAGAAGAAAGAAGGGTAAAATGTGATTCTTTTTGTTTCCACTTTGTTGCATATTGCTATTATTAATTTTTGTTTTGGGGTGTGAAGTTTGTGATTAGGCAATGTATTGATAGGCGATGGAGCAGTGTGTAGAAATAGACTTATTAAGGGAGTTGTCTAAGTCTAACTTTTGTAATCATCCATCCCCACGAATTTGTATATGTAATTATCTGTTCTCTCGATTGCTGAGAGCCGGGTGGAAATGTAAGTTTGTATATGGCATTCAAATTGAGGTGAAGGCTAGATTTGAATCGGAGGGCGTCTTGTTTTGAAATTTGTCTTGATTACTTTTAAGTGCAAAACTCCAAAATTATGTTGTCAAACTTGTCTTGATTGCTTTAGGCGCGCAACCACAAAATTGAGTAAAATTTTAAATTACAACATAGGTACAATATAGATAGTAATAAACAACGGTAATTCTAAAAATCATTTTTCAACTATGGTACTAGAAATTTCTATCTTTCACCAACCTCTCCTGCTTCCAAACAACTTGCTCTTCATGGCATATGCATGTTCTCCATCAATCCTTCAACGCAAAAGCAGCCGAGTATAATTCCGCCACGGCAAAGCCAAAGTCTCGCCTGGCCGATTCAGGATTCATATAAACGGGTCGTCAACTATATCGGGTCGATGGTGATTCCTCTTCGTCCTGTTCGCCGCAAGATTTAGTCCACGCCGCTGTTGCGCTACGGTCAGAAACGAACGCGCCACTAGCGTTGAGATCACGCCTAGCCACGAATCTCCTCATCAACATCGGTACATAGAAGATAGATCAGGTCCGGTATTGAGGTTGCCTCCGAAAACTTTCTATTGTTATCTCTGTGATTGATTGGGTTGTTAGATTTAGACGTTGGGAAGATTTGTTGTTTTTGCCACTCAATTCTAGCTCTTTTGTGCCAGGGAAGGGCCAAAACTGCTGCCTCGTCGACTTTGGAACCTCGCCGGCGTTCGATTTTCCGGTCATAGGAGTTGGTTTTTACGAACCCTTCTGGGCATCATTCAGTGATGATTTTGACTGCAGAAGTGAGCCAGTTTTGAGGGCAAAGCTTTTTAAAGAAGGGGGGCCTGATATGATTCCATTTAGCTTCCTGTTGAAGCTCGAATTATACTCCAAAGGATCAATCAACGTGGAAGGAAAAACGGAAGAATTTGGCCAAGTGTTTGGATCATTTCATGGTGCCTACTTTACGGGTTCATTTCTTACATACTGGTTGATGGAATCACAGGAAAAGGGTGTACAATTGAAGCTCGAATGTTTCCCTATACATTTGAAGCATTGTGCAAGCAAGATCGATCGATTGAGAGTCATTTTCAGGAGTCCCAAGTTGCTATGGTGAAACTGGAAGTTTGGCTGTTTTTGGCCAAGTCTGGAACAGGTTTGAGATACCAACTTTGGAGGCTTAGTAAATGCAGCTGGGGCATCATCGAAGGAAAGGGGGAGTTGGAACTTGTTCTACAAGTTCAGGAGAACAAACGACTGAAGCTGGTTTGGATCGAACCTTCCTGGAACCCCACGATTAAGGGCCTCAAAGTAGCTATGGACACGGGATTAATTGCTTGTGCAGGAAGGCAGTTGCTTGGATGAGAAGCTGCCGAGTTTGTTTCCTTTTCAAGTTAGGATTTTGTTTCCTTGTTATGTTAGAATTAGAATACGATTTCCTTGTTAGTTTAGAGTTAGAATTAGGTTGTTTGTTTTCTATTTAAAGGCTTGAAAGCCTCGTGTACAAGGGCATGAGTTGATGAATAAAATTGAGACTTATCTCCCAAAGCTTGTGTGTTGGTTGAGTTCCAGCTACGAGTTGCTTCGTATCGATTGAAAACGCATCAATCGTGTCCGAGCTTCGCTTCAAAACCAATCGAGCTTTCTTCCACGTGAAGATTGCACCTTTGGTCCGTTTTATTTTCGTTTTAAGTTGATTCAATTTCAAGTTCATTGAAGGAGGGAGTGAGTTGCGCGCTTTGATCCCTAACGAGCACAACTGGGCTCGTATTACTCGAGCAGGAGGCGCGAGAGAGGGGCTGGACGACTGCAGACGGTGGTGTGGCTCTTGCTGTTGTCGCGAATGTTGACGACGATGCAACATCGGCGGAGTGCGTCGGGATCGATATCGCCACTTAACCGCTGTCGAATACTGAAATTAAAGACGAGCAGCAGCTTCCATTCCCATTAGTCACCACCGCGGCGGCTTCACCACTACCACCACCACCTGCGGCAGAAATCATTACCATATTTCTCCCAGATGCAATCGAAGAAGAAGATCATGCCGCCACAGCCATCACAAGCACCATCACCACCACTTTTCCTGGCACGGCCAGGATCGAAGACCAGACAGCTTCCCTTGCGGTTGCAACTACCATTTCAACATCGACCAACGAGGAGACGAGGCCGACGGTGAGAGTGGAAGCGGGAGTGACTCTAGGACGGCGGGAGAACAACTCGTCTCCGCGGGGAAAGAAGGAGGAGGACGACGACGCGAACCTCTACTCGTCGAGGAAGAAAAAGAAGAAGTGGAAGCCAGAGCTCGGAGTTGGAATCAATCGACGACACTAAGGAGGACCAGGGAGGGGTCGTCGAGTCATCTTGGCGTCGACGCGAGGAGCGTGGCTATTGAGGGCAGCCTCCGCCCAGTCGCCGATCGTAGGTCACGGGTGGGAGCCATGAAGTGGGCAACTAGATCCATTGGCGAAGGACGACGATGAGACAGAATCAAGGGTTGACGGAGTAGCCACCTGTGCAGCGACGACGAACAAGGCATCCTCGTGGCGGTGACGGACTGGAAGATGGAGCCCGAAGGCGAAATCAACTGCCGATGCGAAACAAGGAGGGTTCCGTCGGAGTTGCATCTTGAAAAGCCGGAGTCATTCGTGGTAACGACCCACGGCGAGCAGAAGCTAGAGGCAAAGCTGGGGGGAAGTGTTTGTTAGTGACAAAACAACAGAAAATTGAGGTTACCGAGATCTGGCTGAGTCGCGGACTAGGTCGCTCTCTTTAAGACGTTCGCGGCACTGTCTATTTGCGCACAACAGTTCTTACTCGCCCGTCGCCTCCATTATAAAATAGCCTTCTCTCTAACTCTTCGGTTTTGTGCAAAAATCCGAAGCTCCTTTGAATTCATTCTCTTTCGTGTTTCTGCTCGTATTTTGTGTGCTTTAGAGGGGCTTAGTAGACGACTATTTATAGTTGCTAGACCCCCGACGAATATACCCTCTTGCTTGGGGAATAAGTCGCATTAATTAGGTAGATAATCATCCTGTTAATTAAACGCTTCTGTTAAGATAATTCCTATTAGGATTATCTCTCGAATATTGCTTTTTAATCACTTATCTTGTAACTGTTAAGGATACAAAATAATTGATTAATAATTAATTAACAAATAATTAATCTCGAAATTTCTCCAAAAAATATTAGTCCTCGACTCACTCGCTCGCTCGCTCGCCTGCGCGCGTGTGTGTGCTGGTCCGTTAGGTCATCCCTCTCCCACAAAAGTGGGTCACCCTAAGAGGCATGCAATTAGGTGAGAGAACCCCATCTTTATACCTATTTGTAGGAGTTCTCCCACCAATGTGGTATTCCACTATTCTTTCCTTAGGCATATAGCTTTCAAAACTATTCACAAGTTTATTTCTAACAATCCCCCACTTGAATAGGTTTGGAACTATCTCTGAGCATCAACAGATCTATAAGATCAGGCATAAACCAAGGTCTCTCTCGAATTGAGCCTTGGCTCAATGGTTACACTTCCGATTTCATAAGGGTGGCTCGTAGTCTTGAACCCTATCACAGACAGTGTAGCACACCAGTTATTTTCATTAAGTATCATTCTCTCGTAGACCGTACTTTTATGGCCTTGCACGTTATCCCGATTTAGTGAATGCTCTAGCAACTTTGTACCTCCAAAGTTCCATAGGGCTCGGCCCCACTCCCACATTCACATATGTGAGTCTATCAGAAATACCCGCAAAGTAAAGTACTCTGCCCTACATAGGGTATATATCTCATTAAGAGTTGTTAACTCAACCTTCATTGCTTTGGGATTCATGCTTCACTATACATGAACTTTTCGCATACTACTCATGACTTGTTATTATTATTGAACCCATTTCTCGGGATCTCCAGTCTATTGGGTCGGGTTACCATCACTTGTAGTCCGTGGTTCGGTATGCATAAGTCTCATACCCTTGACGGTATTTTGGACTTTCTCTCTAGCTAATCCTTTCATCAAAGGATCAGCTAGATTCCGTTGGATCTAATATGATCCACCCTCACTGCTCCTATCATTAGGAGTTCTCTTACAGTACTGTGCTTACGACGAATCTGTCGTCTCTTTCCATTATAGAACCGATTCTCAATGTTAGCAATAGCTGCGGTGTTATCACAATGGATCAATACCGGAGGGAGTGACCTTTCCCATAGGAGAATCTCTGACAACAATCCTCTTCTAAAACACAGCTCCACCGGCGATGTTAAAGACATACCCGCTAGTTGCCTTGGAGTCATCTGTGAGGGTATTCCAATCCGCATCACTATACCCTTCTAGTACATTAGGCAACCTTTGATAGTGTATACCAAGGTTCGTTCTTCTCTTGAGGTATCTTATGACCCTCTATATAACATTCCAATGCTCTCTACTAGGACAACTATTAAACCTGCCAGGCAATCCCATGACATATGCAATGTCTGGTCGAGTGTAATCCGCCGCATAACGGAGATTGCCAATGATGCTAGCATATTTAGATTGTCTTACACTATATCGAGTGTTCTTGCATAGAATTACACTAGCATCATTTGGAGTACACGCAGGTTTACACTCAAAATAGTTATATTTCTTCAAGATCTTCTCTATGTAGCTAGATTGATCTAGAGAATCATTTGTTGTTCTAGTTATCTGAATTCCAAGCATGAACTTAGCTTCTCCCAAATCTTTCACCTCAAATCTCTTTCTCAACACGGCTTTTGCTTCATTGACCACGTGAATATTTGTACCAAATATCAGCAGGTCATCTACATACAAGCATATGATAGTGCAAGTGTTATTCTCGGATTTGTAGTAAATACACTTGTCACTTTCATTCACTTTAAAGCCATGTGAGAGAACGAAAGCGTCAAACTTCTCATGCCACTATTTTGGAGCCTGTTTCAAACCATATAATGATTTGTCTAACTTACAGACATTCGTTGCTTGTTCAGGGATAACAAACCCTTCTGGTTGTTCCATATAGATTTCTTCGTCCATATCACCATTCAAAAAAGCAGTTTTAACATCCATTTGGTGTACCATGAGATTGTTCAAGGCAACAAGAGCAATCATGACACAAATGGATGTTATTCTAAATACTGGCGAATAGGTATCCAAGAAATCTATATTCTTTTTCTACCTATAGCCTTTAACTACTAGGTGAGCTCAGAACCTTTCGATTGCACCATCAGGTTTTCGTTTTGTTTTTAGAACCCATTTATTGCCTAAGACTTTGCAGCCAGGATGCAAGTCTGTTAGATGCCAAGTCTTATTAGCTTCCAATGAATCCATTTCATCTATAGCAACCTCATTCCTAAAATCTGCATCTATGGAAGGTAATGCTTCATGCAAACTTTTGGGATCTTCAAGGGTGTATACTATAGTAAAGTCATCACCAAAATATTTGGAGGTTCGAGCTCTTTTACTTCTTCTGAGTTCATCCTCAGATCCAACACCCTCACTAGTTCCGTTATCTCTAATAGTAGGTAGTACATTACCCCCACTATTTCTCATTTTAAATAGATATGAGTCTCAAAGAAATCGACATCATTCGATTCTATTATAGTACGAGCATTCAAATCATAGAATCTTTATGCCTTGCTGTTGGCTGCATAGTCCACAAAGACACACTCATATGCTCGACTAGCCAGCTTAATCTTCTTAGGATCTGGATTTCTTACGTAGGCTAAGCAACCCCACGTTCTTAAATAGGACGGATTAATTGGTCTATTCTTCAAAATCTTGTAGGGTGATTCTTTTTTATTAGTTTTTGGAAGACGATTAAACACATGTCAAACCGTCAACAAAATATCACCCCACCAAGAAGATGCAGGTCCTGAATTGAGCAAAATAGCCACGACTAATTCTCTATATGTCTTATTTTTCCGCTCAGTGTGGTTTCATGAATGATACCGTGAGCTATAGAATTCCTTAAAAGGATTAGACTCATACTCTGATCATCTATCTCTCCTAAGTCATTTTATTTTTCTGTTGCACTGATTTTCAAATTCAACCACAAATACCTTGAACATATCAAGGGACTCACTTTTGTTTTTCATCAAATAAACAAGTGAATAATCAGAGCAATCGTTTATGAAAGTGATAAAGTATCTCTTTCAAGACCTAGTTAATGTCTCATCTAGTTCACAAATATTAGAATCAATAAGATCTACGGGTTCTGATTCTCTACTCATAAATTTATGGTGCGTTTTCGTTATCTTAGCTTGGTTGCAGAAATCACATTTATCAAATTCATTCAATAAGGGTTTATGGATGTGTCCTAAGTTTCTCAAATTCTTCATAATTCGTGTGTTCACATGACAAAGACGAGCATGCCAAACATTAAAATCATTCAGCATGTAAACTGAAGAATTCATCTTATTGCTTTCAACATTCAACTTGAACATCCTATCACAAGCATAACCTTTTCCCACAAAAGTCCCATTCTTAGTGAGGGTATACAAGTCTGCGCCAATAGTTTGAGTGAACCCAACCTAATTCAAAAGATAACCTGAAACAAGATTCTTCCTTATCTCTGGAGTGTGCAAGAGTAGGGATGGCAAAAATATCCGTAACCATGGATATCCGTCTGAATCCGGCCTAATCGGGTAGGGTAAAACCCGAACCCGAAGGACATTTAGTGGGTACGAGTAAAACCCGAACCCGAATATTGCGGGTAATGGGTGGGCATGGGTTTCTAACTATCCAACCCGAACCCGCACGATTATACGCATGCATATGTATTTTGTCTAGAAATAATTATTATTTTTCTCTAACATATTTTATATTTAGCATATAAATATAATATTTTCATAAAATTGTGTTGTTTTAGTTAATTTTCTTCATTCTAGTGAACTATTGTCGTACTTTTTCTTTTACGTAATGTGAGAACACATGTGAATGTTAACATATTGGTTGGAGTTATGAAGGGAAATTATTATCCATGGATAACCGTGGATACCCGAAACCCGAACGGGTATGGGCATGGTTTTAATTTTCTACCCGTTTCACATGTGGGTATGGGTAAAACCCAAACTAGTTTGGGTAGGGTATCGGATATACACTATCCGTCCCCGACCCGACCCATTGCCATCCCTACTGCAAGACGTCCTTCAAGGTCATCGTCTTACCAGAGGTAAAGCTTAGCTCCACATCCACATCCCCAGAACCAGCAACTATAATGGTTTGGCAGTATCCAACAACACTTTCTTATGAGTAGGTGCCTCATTGTACTTCTTGAACATAGCACGATTATTATAGACGTGCTTCAAGGCTCTTATATCCATCCACCATCCTTCAGAGTTACCGACAAGGTTAACTTCAGCAATCATGTTGGTGATCATGGCCACCAAATCCTCTTCTGTCAAGTTAACCCTGGCAACAACAGGGTTAGGATTGTTCCTGGAATTTTTTGCCATATGACCTGGTTTAGTGCAGGTATAGCAGATAAACGGTGGGTCATTCTTAGAGGATTGGGCCGTGACCCTTTGGTTACCTTGAGATGCACCATTCTGATTGGGGCGTACCTGCTGGTTTTGTTTCTTGAGCCGCTTTGGATTTGGCTTTAGAGCCCTGAGTGTGGACCGTCTAGCACTGGTTAACAACACCTCTTCTTTCACATCCTGTTTTCGAGCTTCTTCCTCAATCCTTAGGCAAGTAATCAAACTTTCCAATGAAAATTCTTCAGTTTTATGCCTAAGAACATTCTTAAAATCTTTCCATGAAGGGGGCAGCTTATCTATTATGCAAACAACTTGAAATTGATCATTAAGAGGCATACCTTCAGAAACAATCTCATGGGCTATTTTCTGAAGTTCGTGAGATTGCATCTCGACAGACTTTCCGTCCACCATTTGGTAGCACAGGTAGCGGCTGACAACATACTTCTTGGCTCCAGCCTCCTCCATGTCGTACTTCTTTTGAAGAGCATCCCAAACCATCATCGTAGTGTTTTTTTGATCCGCATAGTAGTCGTAGAGATCATCCGACAGCCCATTGAGGATGTAGTTCTTGCATAAGAAGTCCTCTTCTTTCACCTTTGCGGCAACATCCCTCTCCGCATCAGTTGCTTCCTCGTTCAATTCCACCGGCATGTTGGTGAGACAGTGCGCCAACTTTTTGGTCGTCAGGTAGAAAAACATCTTCTGTCTCCAGCGCCGGAAGTTGACTCCCACGAAGCGGAAGGGTCGATTGATATTGACAGCACCACGTGTTGTTTTGTTCAGTCGCCATAGCATCAGCACAACGTCTTAAAATTATTAGTGACAGAACAACAAAAAATCAAGGTTAATGAGATCTGGTTGAGTCACGGACTAGGTCGCTCTCTTTAAGACATTTGCGGCACTGCCTCTTTGTGCACAACAGTTCTTACTCGCCGGTCGCCTCTAGGATAAAACAACCTTCTCTATAACTCGTAGGTTTGGTGCGAAAACCAGGAGCTCTTTTGAATTCACTCTCTTTCATGTTTCTGCTAGTTTTTTGTGTGCTTTAGAGGGGCTTAGGAGACAACTATTTATAGTAGCCAGACCCCCACGAATATATCCTATCGCTTGGGGAATAAGTCACATTAATTAGGGAGATAATCACCCGTTAATTAAACGCGTCTGTTAAGATAATTCCTGCTAGGACTATCTCTCGAATATTCCTTTTTAGTCAACTATCTCGTAACTGTTAAGGAGACAAAATATTTGATTAATAATTAATTAACATAGAATTAATCTTGGAATTTCTCTAAAAATATTAGTCCTCAACCGACCCACTCACCCACCCACTCGCTCGCCCGCCCGTTAGGTCCTCTCTCTCCCACAAAAGTGGGTCACCCCAAGGGGCATTGCCCTTAGGTGAGAGAATCCAATCTTTATACCCATTTGGTAGGAGTTCTCCCACCAATGTGGTATTCTTGCCTTAGGACATATAGCTTCCAAAGCCATTGACAAGTTCATTTCCAACAATGTTCAACGCTGCTCGAGCCGATGAAGATGGAGGCAGTTTCGAAGAAGAAATCGACGGAGAAGGTGAAGAAGAAAGGGTTGCCATAGATTGTACAATCTCCAGAGGTGGAGAGGAAGATGGCGATGTCGGATTGGAAGCGGAGATGACGTCGACCTTTGAAGCCAACTGTCGGGTGGTCTATTTGTCATCGAAGGAGTGCAACGGTGCAACAATCCGCTTTTTTCTCGCAAACCCTTGCTTGGCTACTTGCGGCCTCACAGAGAATCAAAGGTGCACGCGGTTGGGCTTGGTTGTCTGGGCCAAGTGGGTCGCGCAGTCGGGGAGAGTTGAGCCGACTACTCAAAGAGGATTTGGACCCCAAATGGGCGGCCTGGTCGGCACTCTCTTGTTTGGGGTGAACTCATCGGCGAGATGAAAAAATCTCGATGGTGTGGGTAAGGAAGAATGATTGAATGATGGCTTAAGTCAGTAGATGCAGAGCTGCCCCATCCAATTGGGATACTGAACAGACAAAGGGAGTCGTGAGGAGGGAAAATAAAGACTTGTGGCAAGACAATGCAATGAGAATTTGGAAAGGAAGGAGGAAGGCGGAGTGCAATAGTGGAAGGGGAGGAGTGGTGTGGGCCAAACATGAGACCAATTATTAGAGCACTTATATTGGAGGGTGATGATGGATTTGGGTTAGTGGACGTGAGTAGGTCTTTGGGTGGACTGATGGACTCGAAGTGGATGGATGCTCGATTAAACTTGGTGGGCTTGGAGAGGAAGAACCACCTATAAGAGCTGCTCGTGCTCGAAGTTTCGTTCGAGTTCTAAAACGGAATTGGAAGAAAAGGAAGCGACACAAGATAAGGAGTCACCGTACGGATTATGCGAGAAAAAGTGGAGAAAGCGGGTCAAATTGGTCAACCTTGAGTGAAAGGTTGGTCTCAAGGGGGAGGAGGTGATAGAAACACGTATTCTATCATATTTATTGTTAATAGTAATTATTAGGATTTTATTAGATATGGTTAATAGTCTTTGAGTCATATTAGGATAGTCTATTAGGTTTTTCTAGTCTTTTGCTATATATATATATATGTATTTTAGGTCTTTCGTCAGATTAAGAAGAAATTAATAGAAAAACTATTTCCTAAATCTCTCTCCCAATCCTCTCAATTCTCGATCTCAATCTCTTTAAAGGCTTTAGTTGATTCTTATTGCTCTTCCCTAATCCTTTCTCTAATCCCAATTCTGTTTTAAATCTCTAAATATCCATCAATTCCTAATTTCCCAACCCAATCGATAGAACCCTAGAAAATAGTTTCTATCAGTCACATCTTAGTTAGTCGTGATAGCTATATCATCAATGGTGTTCCTTTGTTGCTGCTTTTCAGAAAAAATCACTCTGATATTCCAATGCTCCTAATTATGATGCTTGTCATTGATTTGAGATTCCCATAGAATCCTTCAGGGTGGCTTGTCATCTGTTACCATTTCCCACCGTCGGAGTAAAACCTCGGTAACGCCGTCGTCTGGCAAACGTGTGTAAGTTCGTCTCTGGTATGTGTCAGAATTAATGTAAGAGTTGACTGATGGTAATAATTTGTCGTGATTTTCGCTACTATTTTTTAACGAAAATCAATTTCTTTCTTAATTCCTTCAATTATGAGGCATTTATCGCGGTAGCTTCCTTTTTTGGTCTACGATTTAATACCTATTATTTATATCACTACCAATTTTATTTTGGATAGTAACCCTAACAGCACTGTCAATACTTATCACTCCTTCCTTATTGCGCCCTGCATTAATTGAGAGTAAATTTTAGCAGTTATTTTTAACCTTATTGGCCACGTTTTTCTGGCCAAACGACCATATTGTTTTCTAATTTTATTGTACTGGCCGAGTCTTTGACGACCAGAAAATGTGAACAATTCACCAGCTACATTTCCAACCAGCTTCCATTAATCAAACCCGACATTAATTGGCAACATGAATTCTAGGTTGAATCCATATGTGCTTTGTAGATTTTTTTGTAGATTTTTTTTGAAGAAGGGGAGGCACAAGGCGGAGGAGTTACAGATTAAGCATCATGAACATTCTTAGTTGTGTCAGCTGTAACCATCCTTGGGAAACTAAGGGGTCATTTTGTGGATGCGTATCTAAATGATGTATTTAATGAATGCATGTATTGTAGAGAATACATCATTTTTTTGTTGCAAAATAAAAAACAATGCATGTATTTGATTGTTGATGTGACATTTGAAATCATTCAAAATGAATGATTTAGAATCTCAACTATTTGGTGAGATTGTTGAGATTGTAATTTGAGATTATGAATAAACTTTTATTCTCTTTTATGCCCTTATAAACTTTTATATTGGATTGACTTTTATATCTAAAAGGAAGGGTAAATGTGACTTTTCATTCAAAAAGTGGTTTTCCCACTACATTCCTAAAAATACAATCACAACTACCAAACATTGTAATCTTAAAATGCAAGCATTAAATCAATACATCAATTTATAATGCATGCATTCATACAATACATCAATTTTAACAATCGCAAATACCAAACGAGCTCTAACTCTTCTTATATCATCACCAAAAATCCTTGCTAAATTCCCTAGAGGGTCCGATAGTTCATATATACCGAAGGGATAGATGAGACTTTGCTTCGAGAACCAGTCCGCGACTCTATTCCCTTCACAGTATGTATGCTCTAGTCGGACCAACCAATTTTGTGCTAACAACCGCCGTATTTCTCCTAGAATGGTCGTGTGAGGGTGAACTGCGTCCTCAGACTTGTCAATGAGCGCTAAAGCCAGCTTTGACTCCATCTCCAAGATTAGGAATTGTTTTCCCTGTGTCCAAGCATATCTTAATCCATGATATATTCCCCATAGCTCTACCAAGATTGCAGTACCTGACCCTATCCTGTAGCAGAATCCAACTTTCCAGTTGTCGTTGCTGTCGCTCAAAGCTCCTCCTATTGTCACTAGTTCCGGGCAACCCTGTCCAACTCCATCTTTCTTGATTTTTAGCATCCAGCTAGCGGAGGCTTCCATGATACTAGTTCCCCTCTTCTTTGTCCTCCAGGCTGCCGATCCAGTTTGTTGCTTGCCGCTTCCCAAGTATAGATCCACTCTTTTGCCTTGATTAGCACATAATTAGCTAAAGAGGATGGATGAAGTGTGTTCCCCTTAAAAATGTTCTCTGTCCATTGCTTCCAAATGTACCACATGATAAGAGCAAATTAGCTTGCCCACTCCCCAGACCATTCCCCTTTGCTGTCATTCTCCAGGTTGTTGGTCATCCATGCATTAAATTCTTCTACAAAGAAGTGAGAAAGTTGCTGGATGGATATCGCCTTCTCCCATATCCTCCTCGCCGTAGTGCAATCCCTCAGATAATGCAGGTTAGTCTCTGCCGCCGCATTGCAGATAGGGCATTTGTCATCTTCGGTAAGTTTCCTGTATTTTCTAACGCTATCAGTTGATAAGCGCGCCCTTTAGCTGCTATCCAAGTGAATATTCTGACTTTCTCCGGACATTTCAGACTCTAGATCCTCTTCTAGAAGCTTGGGGTACTAGTCTGCAACTGAGGAGTTAGCGCTTGAAAGGATGATCTGGTGCAGAAGTTACCGCTTGATGACAATTTCCATAATAGGTGGTCTTCATCTGTTGATAGCGGGTTGATCATCGTTGCTCTGATCTGGTTTGTGATGTCTGTAGGCAGCAAGGTCTCAAATTTCTCCATTTTCCAGCCCCTGTCATGATTCCACAAATCAGCCACCTTGAAATGATATTGATCTGGGGAATTTCCCCTATCGCCAAGTTTGCCAATGGTACCTAAGAAATCCAATAGTCAAACCAAAAGTTAGTCTTCTTACCATTCTAATGTTTAAATCAGCTCATTTTTTATAGCATTTTTACTGTTTGTGTAAAGGTTCTCCATATAAAGGAACTTCCCTTTTTTGCTTGGATAATGTCCATTCCATGTCTGCCGATAGCGTACTTCACTATGAGAATTCTTGCCCATAGTGTTTGATCTTTGGTGACATTGCCCTCAATGGAGAAGTGGGAAAGATAAGGGGAACGATGTTACCGGGAAAAATGACTACATCTGGGACTGGAGAGTGGACCAGTCGAGGCGGAGGACTGGAAATGGGACAGTCGAAAGGCACAGAGCTAGAGTCATCAAAACACACGGGGTGATAGTAACCATAGTTCCAAGTGGAAAAACAAAAAAATAAAAACAAAGGAAAAGCAAACTGTGGTGGGGTTGCCTCTCCACAAGCGCTTCTTTTACGTTGTTAGATGGACGCAGAGGTTGGATGCTCAGAGCGGTGGAGGAATAGGTGCCTCCAAGAGCGGATCCACATCGCTCTTGATGTACAACTTCAGATGGTGGCCATGCACACGACGAGTATGACCACTAGCACATGTCAACTCGACCTGGCCATCAGACAGGATGCAAGCGAGTGATTACTTGGATGGCCAGGGTGGTCGTGGTTCAGGAGCCAGGACCAGCTCATAGTGGTCTCCAGCTTTCTTCCGAGCAGGCTTAACTACCTGCAGTTTCGGCCACCACTCCTCCTTGATCTTTTCTTTTGGTAACGGGACAGATGAGAGTGGCGGAGAAGGAATGGGAGGAGAGTCCTGCAAAACGAAAGGCACAGAAGGATACACGATAGACTCGTGCACCTGGTGAGAGACAGCCTGCAAAGGCAATAAAGCAGACATATTATTAGCTATGGAAAATGTTATCTACTCCTGTACCAAAGTGTGACTCGATTGAATCTATGATTTGTGAAACTTGGAATGGAGTGATTGTCAAGTATAGGGGAATGCGAATCATTGACATGTTAGAGGGAATTAGAGGGGTATGTGTTGGATAGGGTTGTCGTGAAGTATAACATGTTGCGGAATACAACCGATCTGTTATGCTTATGCCCTAGAATTAGAAAAATGATAGAGAAAGAAAAGGAGGTAGCTAGGTTATGCTCTGCGAGACAAACATTGAATGATAAGTGTGAGGTCAAGATAGGAGGTTCAGGTGGCATTGTCGAGCTAGATGCTAGATCTTGTATGTGTGGTTATTGGTCATTGAGCGGTATTTCTTGCTGCCATGCCGTGTCTGCTATTTCCCACTTGAGAAAGGACGTAAACAACTACGTGCATTCCACTTACTATGTGCATAAAGCCGAGTATGCATACAAGAGTGGAATCCCATGTCTAGATGGGAGACAAGCTTGGCCTTCTGCTGAGGGACATCCAGTATACCCACCCAAGCAAAGAAGTATGCCTGGAAGGCCCAAGAAGAACCGAAGAAAGGCTGCCCATGAGCGGGAGGTTCGATCGCAACAAAATTAAGAAGGAGAGGAAGTAATTAGAGTGGGTTAGTGATCCATTGTAAGATGTGTGGCGGGGAAGGCCACAATGCAAGAGGTTGTACAACTCCTACTGTTGCAGCAGGCGTGGTGAGTAGTTTACATCTAGTCTTAATGGTTTACTTATCGAAAGCTTGATAAACTAACCTTGATTCCCTTATTGAATGATAAGATAACAACCGAAGAACTAGTGGCAATCAAGCTTCTCTAGATAATCAAAGAAACATAGTTCCTATTGCTGCAGCAGGCGTGGTGAGTTTACCTAGTTTTCTTATGCATAAAGCTTGTATTGAAAGCTTGATAAACTAACCTAGATTCCCTTATTGAATGATAGGAAAACAACCAGAGAACTAGAGGCAAGCGACCAATGCAGGATAATCCAAGAAACACAGCTCCTACAACTCGGAGAACTTGTGTTGGCCATTGCTCCAAATGTGGCTCGAGCAGTCATACCGCTAGAACATGTCCTCTAAATCGAGGGCCTGGTATCCAAGTAAGTTATCTATGTTGGCTTAATGATGAATGTTGAATGCTAAAGTATAACCCACGTTTGCATAGGATGTTAGGCTGAATGTTAGCGACCGCAGAACGATTGAACGAGAGTTGCCACAACTGGAATAGGAGTATATGTTAGCGAGAATACCGGGAATCAATACGTTAGAGTTAGTATCGGCTTGTAAAATACTGAATATAACCGTTTCTTTTTGTATGCGCAAATTTTGATTTTGACATGTTATCATTTCAGCTCAATGGCGCGCAAGGACACCCAGTATGAGGCTCTCAACCCACTAATATCGAGATGCATGGTAGCTAGCCCCCCAACACGCAACCTTAGACGTCGAAGGCTTCATTTTTTATGATAGTCCATTAAGCTACCTCCTAGAGATCTTTTTGTGAAGACGACTCGTGTAATGGCCAATTATGTTAGTCAAATGTAATCAGATGCTATGTAATTATGCACAAACATCGGTTTCAATGAGCTGTCTAGACTGTAGGCTTCTGCTATCTTAGACTACCTTGTAATGAATAGCTAGCTTGTAATGAAGATATTACACTTCTGCCACTTTATGCATATTATGTGAGTATCCGGTTCAAGTCAATTGCTACCTTGCTACAATTTTGGGCCATGTTTAACATCTCAGATTGGAAGATCAGCTTAGTACATAACTATAACTTCTACATAACATATCAATATTTCACATTTCATAATAGATTAATGTTCCACATTTTGATTGGAAGCTCATCCAGTACAACAAAAACTACTACTTCTATTAAAGACATTCATCTTTCAAATTTCAATTGGAAGCAAGCCTAGTACAACGACAACTACTTCTACATAACAAACTGGTGCTGCCGCAGAAGAACAATCAATAAGAAGTTCAGTACAACAACTGTGATATGATATCGGATGAGACAAATGTCATTAGCCACTCTGCTTCCTTCAGCTACCATAAGTTCTTGAGCCTTCATCCACATTGACAACTCTTCAACCAAAAATTTCTTCTCCTTCTTCCTTATTTCCGCTTTTGACTCAGCTACCCGCAAACTTTCCTCGAGCTTCAGCTGAGAACTCCTAATTGCAGAGGTTTGTTCTTCCCCTTCAGCAACCATCCCATGTACCCACCTAAAAACCCGCAGTTTTTTTCTCATTCTGCACCATAAGAAGCATGTACTTAACAAACACATTCATCAATGGCAACCACAAAATTACAAAAACCATTTACCGGTTACATTACCATCCAATATGGGCAGCCATAGAACTGCCTGTCTGGGTTCAGGTCCGTACCAGAGGTATTAACCACACAGGCCACCTTGTGCTTGCAAACTACCACCCCACGACTGTTGATGTTTGTCGAAGTTGAAGAAGAACCTCGCTTCGACATGGCGGCACATCGATTGAATTCCATGGCAGAGACGAGAATCGGCAAAGAAGATAAATCGCCTAAGACAAAAGACAGGCTTGGTTTGCAAATCGCTTTTGTTGTGAATCTGGGTCGCCAATCGCCAAATCGCTAGAAGTTCCCAAATCGCCAGAAGCCACGAATCTGGGGACTCGTGAATCCGGAATCTTCAGTCGTCAGGAGGAGCTTCAGTCGTCGAATGGAGCTTCAATCGCCGCCAGGGGGCGAACCCTAAAAACAAAATCGGGAAAAAGGGCCAGGTCGTACTCTTCGTGAAAAGTAGAAGGGGTATACGGGGAAAACTATTATAAATTATTTTTAATATATGACGTGTCACTTTTGGCATAGTTGGTGGTTACGTGTCAGCTTAGTTGGTGCCTAGTCAGCTTGCCGTCAGCTAAGTTGACGGTGTTAATAACATCGTTAAAGTATTTAACGGAAATGGCTAGATTTGTCATACAATAACTTTAAAAGGTGGCTATAAGTGGTATTTCTCAAAATTTAGCTATTATTGGCACAACCGTAAAATTTTTGGCTATACAAGGGTATATTGCCAACAAGTATTTTACCCGGCCCGTTGGCCGGAGAATTACATTTTATTATTTATATTAAATAATTTATTTGGATTTTATAAATAATTTATTTTCTCTCTTTCATAAGTGAATGATATGCCTATATTGAAAATTATTAATACTTAATAATTAGCATACTTACTTATGATGTTTTGATTTCTAACCATAAATCATATCGTGAAGGTTTGTCACGCCCATTTAGGATCAATAATATATTTATATTTTTCAATCAAGACACTCAAATTTATTATCTTATACAACCTATATCAGCATGTGATTCTAGAGTTTGGACAGACTCTCAACCAATTAATGAGAGTTCTGATTCTATAAGTAATAAAATACACTTCAATTTTGAACTCCAACCCAAAATCCCAAATTTTAAACCTAAACCCTAACCCTAAATCCCTAAATTCTAAATCCTTTGAATTAAAGTAAATTTTGAATGAATTTTTTTTTCAAATTTATGTGCTTCTTGTTCATAATATCTTAAGCAACAATTGATAACGTTTTTTACATGAATCGCTTGCTCAGAATGGCAATTATGAGGCGGGTGCACAGTGCACCCGAAAAAGTGGGTGCACCGAATACGCCACCATATATATATCAATGGCTACTTTTGAAAATTAGACTAACTCTAAATCCATGGTTGTTTTCTAAATATTGTTTTAGAATCTCAACCGAAGACACTCACATACACTATTGAGGCTTCTCATCTTAACATTGTCCTTCAGTGTATAATTTTTCAACTTTTTAAATGCTCATTTGCTAAAAAAATTGTCCTTAGTGTTTGTTATGGAACAAAAATTATACTACTTATATTAATAATTAATAAAGTATGTCTACAACGCATACATATTCAAGTGTATTTTAAAATGATGTTTTGCTTGAACACTTAATTTATCATATTTTAAAAAGCTTCACAAAATTTCCTACTAACATTGTAACATTTAACATGCATTTGAATTCTTGGATGTATTATAGCCACATTTGAATTAGCCGAAGATGTTTCGATGAATTAGAATCTTTGATTTTAATTTCAAGATTAAATGAATATTATGCTTTAGGTTAGTGTATTGGAGACTGGAGTTCACGCATTAGGGGTTAGGGTATATAGTCTCAAGCCCCAAACTCCGGTTAATATATTGTCTAAATATCAATACTCAACGGGCGTAGGCATTCCCTAGCCTTTGCCATATATATAGTTTAATTTATTTTTAACACTAATCAATACCTTAGAACTCAACTCATTGGCTGAATATGAAAAATAAAGAGTTTGTGGCTAGAGTAACTCGATGTGAATACAATTTGCTTGCTCTTACAAACTAAAATATTTTCATTTTGAAACTTTGATATCGGAAGATGTTTTGTTACTGCCAAAAGTTACATGGAGTCAGGCTCTTAACTATATAACCAAATAAGTTCTTACAATTGTCTTACTGATGTTTATTTATTGCCTCAATTTTTGAATTTCTATTTGTTTACCAAGACATTCGAAACAAAAATTTCCAACCCTTATTTAATTATTGCAAGGTCAGAGATTGGCAAAACGTGAAGCTTCACGTACATCCTCAACAAAGATTTCTCTAACCTTCACACATGTCATTCTCATCCTAGAAAATGAATTCAAGTTTGTCCACAATCATACTTAAGCCATTTTTAAAAGTTCGATTCATGATCCTCGATAATTAATAACTCCGGGTCTGAAAATAAAATATTAGCATAGAATGTAAGACCTCAATAGAGCTTGCTCAATGAACTTGATCTAGAGCAATAATATATGCTATGAATTTAGGATAAATTGTAAATTGTTGCACATGTGATTCATAAATTTTTCACTTGATTAGAATGAATAAGAAGATGTTTTAAGAAATTACTATTATTTTTTGCTATATCATTATATTTTTTCTATCGAAAAATTATTATTATTATTATCATCAATGAACACAAAATATTGTTATATATGTGTGTTCGTTTAACATTTTCATCAAAATGTAGAAAATGAGTAGAAAATTAACTTGATAAGATTTAAGTAGGTATTTTTAGTTTGAAAAATGTGATATCTGTCACTCTCTATTTTCACTTTTATATTTAGTTTAATTGAAAAAAATGTTATTATTTATGTGTGTCCATTTAAATTACTCATAAAAATGTAACTTATTATTTAGTTTTAGAAAAAAGAGTATAAAACATAACTATTAAGGTCTAATAATATATTTTTGGGTTTAAGCAAATGTGATATATCATATATGTCATTCTCCAAACATTAGTCTACTACAATGTACATTGGTATAATGCAAAAGCACAAAAAAAAGAAGAATTATTGGATAAAAAGAAAATATTAAATGAAGAGGGAGATAGTTTCATAAATAGATCAATAATTAAATTTTTGTTAGTAAGAGAATTGTCCACCTTGGCAACTTGTGAGCTTTCCAAATGCTTATGTGGCAAAATTTTAATTTTGAATTGCCATAATATTATGTATGTATGTATAGATAGATAGATAGATAGATAGATAGTTAGTTCCAACGCATTGTTGCAACCTTAAAGATGAAAACTTCGTCACTCTATCGATGATCGATCAATAGCGATGTCTACACTTTTGCATTCTCTTTTCTTCTTTTGTAAAAAGAGGGAACAACCATATCGTGTAGGCCATGAGGTATTGAACAATGATAGTGCTTAAATTCAACGAAAAAATGGCATTGCTAACCTTAATGATGACACTCCACTAACCTCTCAGCCATACATTTTCATGTTTTATTAGGAACGAGATATTTCATTTACGTTGTCGGACTTTGAGGGAGTTATTTGTATCTCCATTTAGGCTTTGATTGCCTACTACTACTGAGTGGGATGTTTTCTCTAGAGAGGATATTTATATTCAAGACTTCTTGAAAGTCCAAGGAAAGGAAAAAGATGGTTCAAGGAATGGGAACAGAAGGGAATCTCAATGGACTAAACCTCCCCCAGGATGCTATAAATTGAATACGGATGCCGTCTTTCTCAGCAGTGGGGAGACATGCATGGGGTGTGTGCTTAGGGACTGGAATGGTAATGTCTTGTTTTCAGCAAACAAGTTTGTTAAGATTTCATGGCCACCTGACATTGCAGAAGGGAAGGCGATTCTTTTAGGATTGCAAATTGCCCTGGAGAAAGGGTTCAGTCCTCTTTTGGTTGAATCAAACTGTCTCAATATTGTTAGAATGTTGAAAGGAGAAATTGAAAGTAGGTCTGAATCTCATTTGTTTGTAGAGAGATTCGTGAGATTGGAGTTGTTGTTGATGTCACTGAGTGGAAGTTCACCTTTCACGAGGCAAACTGTGTTGCTCACTGCTCACCTTTTATCTCACTTTAGGAGACAATCTGATGTAGAGGAAGTTGTATGGGACTTTTGCTGTCCGTCCCAGATTGCTACTTGTTGTAGCCCTTAAGGCATCCCCTTAATTTCTAGGAAATCCCATCAGTTAATTCTAATAAAAAAACTTCACCAACAATATAATTAAGGTTTTAGCTTTTATTATTTTAAAATAAGAAAGATAAAAAAATTAATCGATGTATCAAAATGATGAATAATTGAATAATCAAACCAGGCCAACGGGTCGGACAAGATGCTAGTTAGTAATTTTTCAAAGAATATTTTCCACAATAAAGTACACTGAAGAACACACTTTAATGTCAAATGAATAATGAAGTTATGAATGAATTTTCAACGTATACATTGTAGTCACACTCTTTACAGTTTAAACGATAAATACATTTAAAAATGTCTTAAAATATAAAAAAAACAAGTAAAACTTAACGTACAATTGTTTTTACACTAGACCCAACTTAAACGAATTCCTCGCCACCCCGCCACTGCATGCACCCACTTCCCTCAACCGATTTTTCCCCTGCTGCCGTTCGTCGGAGCATGGTAGGACGGCGATGATGACACGTTCGACGCAGGAGGATGGCGCCTGGCCTCGAGCTTGAGGAACATAGCATAGAGAAGTTCATTCCAAGAATCAGGGACACCAGGCAGGCACCAATGGCTGCAATCCTGATTACGCAGTGACGAAGCTCTGTGGGTAGAGTAGATAGACAAATGCCCGTCTTTCCTTCTGGCAGTCATATCCGTTATCTTCAAAACATGGAACACACTGTCCTGAATTGTGCGATTAGGAAGGATTTCGTTGGCTACTGACTCAAATTGGACTTGTGTCCAAGGATGTACTGGCTCTCTAGGAGCCTCCAACTCGGGCAGAGTTTCTTTCTGGCAGGTCCCTCCTGTGTTCCACTTTCCTTGCCTGCAAAACCCAAACCCATTAATTTGCCTTACAAAGATGCATAAATCAAGCAGGGAATGGAAGTGATTGGGTTAAACTGGATTTACATGAAATGGGCGGGTTCGTAGGTTCGGAAGAAGATCTGCGTCTTGTTTGTGTCAACTTCATTCATTATCCAGTGCATCACAGTCTCCATGGACTTCCTGTATGCTTCCTTGATCCCCATCTCGATCTTCACTTCTTGACCTACTTGGAAGTAAATTCCCCTGAGTCAACAACAATATGAGAACAAGGTTAGAAAAAAGAGATCATACTGAAACTCAAGGTAGCATATGCACAAATTTACTTTTTGGTTCTTTTCAAAAGTTCTCTTACTAACAGGGGCTAGTGAATCTGAATTCTTGTAAACAAGAGTCATTTCCCTTCCATATCCATTTTATATTATCATGTGGTACTTGGATTTAGTGATGTAATGGGGTGGGGTGGGAACCTCAATACCCATACCCATCCTACATCAAGTACGGATCGGGTCGAATAATACCCGCACGGATATGGGATAGGGTGGGATGACCCAATCTTATATATTACTTGAAGAAAATGTTTATTTATTAGTAACAAAACAAACGAAAATTAGTTCCTACCTGGAAAATAAAAATAATAGGTAAACTAATAGAGTCCAATTAGTTGAAAAATAAAGTCACATACCTAAAGTATCACTGGGTGAAATATGAGTTAAGATAAATAAAATTTTTTCAAGACAAATCGAGGTAGGACAAGTCAAAATCGAGACGAAATGAAACTGGCAGGTTGAAACTAATAACCTTGCCCCGTGGACTAGTGGTGGTCGGGTATGACCCACCCCAACACTGTTCAGATTGGGTTATGGTGGTTGCTGATGGCCTGATGGGTAATTAGTAATTACTGATACATGGTTAGTGTCAATAATTAGCCGCCATAACCTTCATTGTTCTGTTCATGAGACTTACTGTTGTAATGTCTTGCCATAATTCCACCAATGCCCTGAATTGAGGACCAGCACATCAGCATTCCTCCAATGGGTTGAGCTCCAATCCATCAGATCCAGTTTCAGCGTCAGTCGAACCTTGGCCCCAGGAGGAGGCCTGCCCATCGGAACAAGGTACGGAGACCTGTAATACTCCACCGTGCAGTTGTAATCATCGAACTTGAACGCCAAATACCCTTTGTGCTTCGTAATTGGATTCCCATTCACTTCATAAACAGAGCTCGTGTTGGCAACAACAGAGGATAACAAGCACAACATGGATTCCCATTGATTCCTCCCCAACGAATCCCCAACAAACACCAACCGCTTGTTCCTCAGCTTCTCCAGCATCAACTTCCCGTCAAATCTGGATCAGGAAGTAAAGAAGACATCAACTTTCTATTCTAATTTCCTCAAGAGACCAAACAGAGTGTTTTCCCCTTTTTCAGTACCTGGGCAAGTTGCAATCCTTGGGCTGCCATCTCCACTTGGTGAAGAACACATCAGGCCGTCCATTTTCTCTGCACATGAACCCTGGTTCTGAAACGGTGCAATCTTTGGCGAGATAGAGAGGGTACTCTTCGTCCCAAACCCACTCCCCATCGAAAATGTCGCACCCATTCCCTTCCTCCGTCAAAAAATCCACACTTTTCCTCTCATTTCCGAATTGCAACCAATTGGGAACCCTGTTCACAGTTCCAATCACTTCCCTGTAATCCAAGTAGAAGAAACAGAGGATTACGGAGGCAATGACCACAAAGATCGCCAAAACCCCAACGGGCCGCCCATGGAGCCTTAACAACGGCTTCGACTTGGTGCCTGAATCGAAAAACTGAATGGTCTCTTCCTCCTGCTCTTCGCTTTTGGTCATTTTAAATTGGGAATGATACGATTTTCGAAAGGTGGGTTTTGCTCAGCAAGAGTGTTGGAAGAAATGGGTATAAGTAGCTAAGCATAGAGAGAAAGTAGGGATCGAAAAGGAGAAATGCAGTGTTCGAGAGAAACAACGTTCATGGAGAGAAATGGAACCACTGCCATTTGTAAATGGACAACAGTCGATTTTGTTTAAAGAAGGGTAGTAAGAAGAACTAAGCAGTAGCAGGGCTTCTTTGTTTGGGGAGACGGGCTTCTGAAAGTTGAGAGAAGAGAATCAGAGGGATTGTATTACATGGGAGAAGAAGAAGAAAAGGGAAACCCATTTATTTATTCATGAAATGAAATGCTTCATTCCATGCAAAAAATTGTTCCTTCCATTTTACTAGTGCATCTAATAAAATGAAACATCACTTTCATATACAAAAAAAAGCTTTCAGATAGGTCCAGCTATTTGGGTTAATTCCTTAAATGTTGTTTTTTTTTTAATTCACCACGAATATAGTGTTTTGAAAAGTATTTACAAGAATATTGTGTTTTGATGGAGGGAAGTTGGCGACGGCGCCCGAGACTCAGAAAATACAGTTTTTAAGGGTAAAGCCAGCGACGGCGCCGCAGTCTCAGGCTTTGGCGCTTTTTGAAATTTTTGAAATTTCAAAATGCGCCAAAGCCTGAGACTGGGGCGCCATCGCTATGCTCCTTTGTTTTTTTAATTCCCTTCCTCGCCCTCTCGCACCAGACCAGACCACATCCTCCCTCCATCCCGACCTCCTTCATCCTCCTCCATCCCGACCCCTCCTTCACCCTACCAGCGGCGACGCCCAGATTAAGGAGGCAGCGCCTCAGACCCAGGCGGCGGCGCGAGGAAGAAAGCGAAGGCGCCCCAGCAACAGCGGCGACGCGGAATGTCCGACGACGAGCAGCAGGCCCCCGGCGGCAGAGGAAGAGGCCGAGGGCAGCGTGGCGGCGGCAGTGACGGCGGCGGCGGCGAACGCTACAGGAGTGAGTGTCGGATTCTTGCCGGCGGCGACTTTTTTTTCCCGGCGATATGTTCTAATATTTTTTTTCCAGTTCCTAGGTTTATCGATCCTTGTTCGATGAGACCACCACCTGCGACAATCGATACTGCTCCGATGGATCCAGAACTTCTTTGGGGGCATGGTCACCATCGGATTGAAGCAGTTTGGGCAAATGAGGTAAGTTTTTTTCAAACTATTTCTATAGTTTTATTAGCTGAATAATATGATAGAATAGAATAGAATAGAATTAAATTACGATTGAATTAAATTAAATTAGGAATAGAATTAGATTAAGTTACGAGTATATTATATTAGAATAAGTTTAGTTTAGTTTAGATATATAAATATAAATATTAGGTGAGTTGAAGGAATTGAATTAATATAGTTTTGTGCATTAATTATAGGCTGGTGATCGACCATTCCACATTCGTCATACTGGAAATTTAGTTCGATACAATCCATTGTACCTGCCGTATCTCGTCGATGCCGGCTTATCTAGTGTTCTGCCACTAGCCCCTCTTACCGGTGATCCGGGTTTGATTACTGCGCTCGTAGAGCGTTGGCGACCCGAGACATCGACATTTCACATGTCGTTCGGTGAGGTGACGATCACCCTAGAGGACGTTGCGACACTCACCGGATTAGCGATCGACGGTGATGCCGTCGTAGTAGACATACCAGACGATGACTGGTCGGGCATGTGTCTTCGACTGTTAGGACAAGCTCCTACTGATCTTGGTGGCGGCGTCATCCGGATTTCTTCGCTCAGGGAGACTTTCGATGAGCTGCCGCTTTCTGCATCACCCCAGACGACATAGCAGTTTGCAAGAGCGTATGCGCTGTCTCTGATGGGAGGTGTCTTGTTCTCCGATCGGTCTGGAGGTTCAGTCCACCTGCAGTACCTACTTTTGGTGGAGGATTGGCAGTTGGCACAGAGCGGGGAGGTTTGCTTGGGGAGCAGCTGTGTTATCCTACTTGTACCGTGAGATGGGTAGATCGGTGCTGCAGATGACGGCATCTTCTTCACTGGGTGGTTACTTTGGTGGATGGTCCGCCTTGCTGATGATTTGGACGTGGGAGCGGTTTCCTCATACATCACCACTACATGCGGTGACGGGTGAGCAGATTACTCAGGAAGCAGTGCCACGTGGCCTTCGGTGGCTTTCGGCCCACACCCGTCAGCATGGAGATCAGTTCTAGTTGTACAAGCTGTGGTTTGACGAGTGCACGACATTCGTGGTTAGTATATATCATTTCGTTTTATAGAATAGTTTTAATTGATTTGTTATAGATTTAGGAGTAATTATGTGACCAATCCTTGTGTGCAGTGGCGTCCATACTATCATAGAGGTCAGGACTACAGCGGTACTGTGATCTAGTCCCACACGTTTCGAGCAGTAGTTCCGTTGATCTGCTTCTCATCGCAGATGTGGCATCATCTAGATCGCGTGCTCGGACAGTTTGGGATGATTCAGGACCGGCCTCATCCTCCACATTCCGCGGCTGAGATTAGATTGTTCCTTCGTCAGGGACAGCATGGGCCTTCACGTGGACAACAGTTCATACAGGCAGCCAGCGAGTCGATTGAGTTGTGGGACCGTCAACATGAGTTCGTAGCGCAGACGAGCTACACTGACGTAGAATTAGCTTACCACTCGGAGCATCAAGAGTGGTATAGAGATGTCACTAGACGTTCAGGCACACGGAGAGTTGCTGCACTGAACGCAGCGGTGAGTTTTTTTAGTAATTAAAATTTGTGTTTTAATTGTTTTTAGATGTATAGAATTTCTGATATTTTCCATTTAAATTTGCAGTACGACTGCATGGAGTCCGTTGAGCAGGGTTTACGTGATGGGATGAGATCAGGAGGGCTATCATATGACTAGATGGCGGAGTATGTTGACCAGTTGGCGGCAGGGGTTACAGCTATAGGTTTTAGTGGTCGCCGACATCCTGATACAGAGCCGATACAGCGGTACCCCGATGAGCGCAGCTTAGCTAGCTGGCCAGAGCGTAGGACTCAGCCATCGGCCTGGGGCGTGCCACCACCACAGTTCACAGAGGAGCCCAGGAGGAGGAGACAGCGACGTGAGCAGCGTGACGTACCTCGAGGAGTGAGGTACTCAGATCGTCAGACCTACATCGACCTTCACATTCCAGCCAGTCAGGCCTACTTTTACCGGATTTCAGGCAGGCACCAGTTCTTCTAGCCCTCAGTTTTAGCCACAAGAGGATAGCTTTCACACACCGCAGCATACTACAATGGGAGGCGGGCACATGGGATCAGGTAGTACAGACCTGCCATGTTGGATGTCAGGATAGACCAACGACGCCCACCATTGTAGTTATCGTGTGCTAAACTCCAATGAATCTGATGTTGATCCACCCAATTATCACATGAAATATTTCTATCAGCGGCCACCTTCTTAAATTGCTCAACTTGACGATCAAACTTCTCCAACCGTTTTTCTCCGGCTAACAAAATAAAATAAACCACCACACGGGTTAGATAAATTCATGACAAAATTACATGAAAACAAGTAACAAAATTATATGAAGAAAGCTTACCGACTCGAAATAGTTGATTATACATAATTCTGCTTTTAGTATTCCTTTGAAAATTGCTTGCATAGTGTCGCATGCACCACCTCCACTCCCAACCTCTTCCGATGTTATTCATGGCTTCATAGAGTCCTGCATGTCTATCTGAGATGATGCATACATCATTTCGATCAGTCAAACCGTGAACGTGACTTATGAACCATGGCCAACTATCAGTATTCTCACTCTCCACTATGGCAAATGCAATTGGAAAAAACTTCTTCCGTCCATCAAATGAGCTCGCCATGAGTAGCACTCCTTTATACTTCCCAGTAAGAAATGTTCCATCAACAACCATAACGCCTGGACAATTCTTGAATCCATCTATACAAGGTCCATAAGCCCAGAATACTCGCTGAAATATTGAATGACCTGGTTGAGTCGAAGGAACTCTTACCCAATGAATCACCGATGTTGGCATTTTGCTCTTGACCACCCGCAAGAATGTTTGCAAAAAATCATAGGATTCTTCCCAATTTCCATGCAACTTCTCCAATGCTCTTTGTTTCCCATACCAAGCCTTCTTGTAAGTAACTTGCATATTAAACTTATCTTTTAACTCGGCCTGAACAGTTAGAACACTCAGATTTGGTTGGGCACGTACCAAGTGTTTGATGGCCTCAGATATCACGTCGACATCAAGATGGCGATGATCCGTCGGTTGAGTCGTACTGCTACAAGTATGCACCAACTCGATCTTTCTCACGCTCCAATCGCCTCCCATTTGTCGACATCCAAACCACACCATCCAAGGACATTTGTCCTCCTTGTGCATCAAACATCTGATCTTCCAGATTGAAGGTGACGACTCCACCACGTTATACTGAAAGTTGCGTTGTAGTGCATAGTGTTTCATCGCCACCTGTGCAGCTTGTTTCGAGTGAAATATTTGCCCCTTGTAGAATTCTCCATCAAAACCACCAACAGTAGACCCTGGAATTACGCCATATGAATCAGCATATGATAATTCCTCGTCCTCTTCATTACCCTGCAAGTAAAAATATGGAGGATAATTAGGTTGTTCTCCTCCCTCCCCGTCGTCGTCGTCGTCCTCCTCCTCCTCATCATCGTCTTCCTCATCTCCGTCATCACCGTCATCATAATCATGATCGGATGGCATGCTCCAAGTGTCATCACCGTCATCATCGTCTTCCTCTCCACCCCGATCCTCACTGAGCTCAGCATGTATCTCAGCACCCAAACAATAAAGATTTTGTGCCATAAAATTCCAAAGCACATTTAATCTATCATCATCGACAATAGGCATTGCATAATGAAATAAAACACCATTCTGCCATTCTGGAAGACAGTAGGTGAAACCTGTAATCACAACACTATCTTGTACTGTTTCGTCTCTAATCCGTATTCTCCGAATTAGATGATCACAAAGTTTCTGATAGTTCACCCTGGATGGAATAGTCATCTGGAAACTTAGACCACCAACAAAATGGACACCCAAATTGTCTTCTACTTTCTCTGATCGCCACCGAACAGCTAGTTCAAATCTTCTAAAACCACTACATAAAAAACAAACTCACTAATTACTAACTAGACAAAATCATTATGATGAATACATGAAAATAAATAAATACGACTCTTACCTGTTATTAGCCATCTTCCCAGCAACCAGACAGCAACACCAGAGCTTCTTTCATACTTCTTTCAGTTTTTTGGTGATGAAGAACCGAAGGAAAGGTGCAGTATATATGGTGAGGGGTGGTGCTGGAGTGGAACAAAATGGCAGCGACAAAGCCCCAGTCTGGGGCGCCGACGCTATTACCTTCTTAAAAGCGACAAAGCCCCAGTCTGGGGCGGCGGCGCTGTGTTTTGTTTGTTAAAAAAGCATCCAGCGGCAGCGCCTGAGTCTAAGGCTTCGGCGCTTTAAACATATAAAAAAACACAATATTCTTGTAAATAATTTTCAAAACACTATATTCGTGGTAAATTTAAAAAAACAATATTTAGGGAATTAACCCCAGCTATTTGCCCTCTATGGCAAAATATGATAATTATTAAATTTTGTGGACAATGATATATGGTATTATTTTTTGTAGGAGCGATTGCTCACAGTAGTGCTCATTGAGAAAAGAATGAGATTTGAATTGATTGATAGACCTTTATTTGTTGGTGGAATATATTAGAGTTTTTTTAGGAAACATGGGCATAGGGGTGCTCTAACGTTAAATATTAATAGATAGCGGGATTTGAATTCAAATAGAGTCAAAATACAATTAGTATCGCTAGTCAGGGCTTGGATTCTCAAAGATATGCACTCCTATCTACCAGATGGACCTTTGGTTTACATTTTATATTTAAGTAAGTTAACAAATACGATATTTACTATTTTTTTAAATATATTTATATACCGTCAAAATGTAATTAAATATAATTAAAGTTAAAATACGCTAACTAACTGTTAAATGAGTAGGAATTTACCAAAATGGCCTCACTTATTAAAAAATTCCCCTTTTCTGCAGAAATTAAAAATAAAATAACTAAAAGGACTAGAAAATGAAATTTTAAAAATTAAGAAAATCTAAATTGATTATATAATTTATGTTTTCTTTCTAAGAAAATAAGAAGAAAATGTATGTAATTGGGGCAATTTGGCCATTTTATGCCCTTTAACAGTCAACTAACATAATTAACCATTTTGCCCTCCAAGACTCCACACATAGTTTTGGAGAGTTTATCATGGTGTCATCATGTT